GTCATGGACATGCTATGTCCGTGACCGCCACGGACCTACAGGAACCGTGACGGTCTGTGTATATTTTTTTGCGACAATTTTGTATGAAAAAATCCCGTCACGGACATGCTATATCTGTGATGGACGTGACGGTGTTTAATCCATGCCATCTGATAAATCCGACGGCACTGCATTTTCACCCATAGGCGTTTTGTAATCTTCTCCTCTCTCTCTCTCTCTCTCTATATATATATATATATATGCTATATTTATATTTATATATTTGATATTATGTTACAAACTCTGCACTTCCCAACATAACAACCAAAAGAATAAGGGCAGATTGGCGATATATAGCTTGGGGCCATGTGAAAGGTGACAAAGCCATTGGAAAAAGCACGGTCAGGGCCTGAATGGTGGGCTCAACTGCTAATGTACGGTCCAATATTGACCAAGCTCTTAAGGCCCCACCTTGATCTACCACACAGCTCGAGGTTGCATTTTTTTCAAAGAGAATCAGGTCTTATAGTCCGTGGTCTTCTAACAACCCCATGTGACCATGGTCCCCCCCAAATCGACCTTAAAATAACACCAATGATCCTAAATCAAACTATTGTTTTCAATATAAAATATCACTAGAAGACCATAAGTTTCAAGTACTCCACTATTTTACTAGCCCTAAAGGGCGTTTTTGTGGACTTTCTTGGCCCCCAAGTTGCCCCTTTTGGCTTATGGACAATATAAATGGTGGCCTTGGACTTCAGGGTGAGAGGTAGGTTTGTTAGCAGTGTGGTTGGGTGCATTGTGAGAATGGTGGTGAAGTTGCATGGTGCGGCTTTTGCCGCATGCCCGAGGCGGGTTGCGGCATGCTTGTATGAGAAGAATGTGGAGTTCGAGCTTGTAAATGTCGACCTCTTTGCCGGAGATCACAAGAAACCCGAATTCCTCCAACTTCACCCCTTTGGCCTTGTCCCTGTGATTCAAGATTGTGACTTGACCTTCTTCGGTATTTTTACTCTTTTTTTTTTTTGTTGTTTTTCCTGTTTTTATTAATATCAGTGAAAAATGTTTTAGGAAATCATGGGGGAATCCCTCTTGGCTAAGGTTAGGAGCTCTTCTTCACCCAAGCTTATTGATATAATATCATTTCATTTAACATAATGTTGTACAGTATACAATTGGAATAAGATAATTACCATGTGCCTAGGACTCTCCTACATTTCTTCTTCTTCTCATTTTTTCCCTATTCTGTAAATGACTATAATCCATCCATTGTTGCATCTCATGAAGAAATTACTTTTACAGAGTGGCCATAAAAACCTTTTATCTATGTCATCGGTCTAAATTCCTAAAGGGATGTGGCATATTTTCTTGTCGCAGAGTCGAGAGCTATCATTCGATACTATGCGGAGAAATACGCAGGGCAAGGGACTGATCTCTTAGGCAAGAGCCTAGAAGACAGAGCAACTATTGAGCAATGGCTTGAAGTCGAGGCGCACTACTTCAACGAACCGGCCTTCTCCCTAGCCTTCCAAGTACTTTATGCAGAAAAGCTTGGGCAAGAGCCTGACCTCAATGTGATCAAAAGTAGTGAGGAGAAGCTCACCAAGGTGTTGGATGTGTATGAAGAGAGGTTATCAAAGAGCAAGTACCTTGGTGGTGAATTTTTCAGCCTTGCTGATTTGAGCCACCTTCCTTTTGCTCACTACTTGATTAATGACAGTGGAAAGGGATACTTGTTTCATGATAGGAAGCATGTGAGTGCTTGGTGGGAGGATATCTCTAGCCGCCCTTCATGGAAGAAAGTCTTGGAGCTGTAGGGTAGGGTACCTTCGGTTCGAGGATTTCCCACGACATGGGAATTCGGTTTCTTACCTCCCAAGGTATGAAGCCGATTTCACATGAAATGCTGGTATTTTGTATTGCGGCGGGAACCTTGAATGCTTTCACTCCTGCCACTAATCTACGAAAAAAGTACGAGAAAACGGTGGTCCGGTAGGAAATATCTCTTCGGGAGAGAGATTTCCTGTAAACCAAACGTGCCCTAGTGTCTAATATTCTTCAATTTTGTTCTCTGTTACTATAATTGTATGAGTGAGTTTATGATTTAGCAATGAATGTGTGAGCAATAAGGAGGAAGTTCTATTTTTTGATGCCGTGAGAAAAAGAACTTACATATGTTGATTTGTATGACTTTTGCTGTGGGGAACATGCTTTTGGAAAAGTCTTCTTTGCATTTTGTGACTTTCAGAAGTAAAATAAAGTGTCATCGCAAATCATGTAAGGATCTGGTTTCTATGAATCCCCCGACTCATAGTATTTTCATGGAGGCTCCCTTAACCACCCATTAGTTGTATCGATCTTGGATCGAAATTTGTAGTGATCCATGATCTACACCATGATGTTTTATTAGAATATTTTCTATCCATTGGATAGGAGTCTTTAGTTGTGGATGTTCATCTTAAAGATGGACGTTTGTGATTGTGCCGGGTTAGTAAGTCCGCTAACTCACAAAACACTTTTTCATCATTATAAACACGCAAACAAGGAAGTCGAGGAGGGTGTAACATTTTATTCCAAGTTCATATTATTGATGGCTGACATGATTTTATTCCACCATCATGGCCTAAAACTCTATTTTCACCCCAATTGTGAAATTTAAAGCTCTAAAAAGTTGTGTAGAAAGAATAAATCCATAAACACTTATAAAATTTCAAATTAGATGATTTAGATAATGTGTTACAATATGCACTATTATTAAGGCTTGAAATCATTTTTTGTTTCATATCTTTACTCCTTGAGGTTGAGATGATTAATTGTAAGGTTTCTCGACGTCGAAGAAACCTTTGTGTGTGGATCTTTGAGGTACACCTCTACAATATAATGTTTACACTTTATATAAACTTTTCTCCTGCTATAATGGCGCTATTATATCTTTGTTAAGGGTTGAATGATGATTAAGGGAAAGTATAATTATATTAAATGAACAAAAATTATATAAAGATACCATTTGTCTTTAATAGAAGAAGGTCACAATCATTTTTGTCCATTAGATTTCAAATCAGGCGGTTGTAAGAATATAAAAAAAAAAAAAGTTCAAAAAAAAAAAAAATCTCAAACTTTGTTACGCACCCTTAATCACTAAATTTCACACTTAATAGCTAGGAATAATTGTGACCTCTTTATAACAATGATAAATGATCTCATAATATACCATATCCCATAAATAAAATATACTTTGCCCTTTCTCTCTATAACCATCTAACCAATTGATTGGAGGATTATAAACTAGGAGGCCATGTTTGTTTTTCTTGGGTGAGTAGGAGCATAGTTGATACTATTAACCATAGAAGCCATCTTATAATTTGCGTTAAGTTTTTTCCAATATAAAAAATAATTACTTCGGCCCATATTCACAAAGCATGTCCTGCCCATAACATATGCATCCCATATATAATAGTGTGACCTAGGAATGGACTCAACGCTAAGTTATCGGAATGATGGGTTGTTAAGAACTTGACATATTAAGTTCCATTTGTACCATGAATAGAGGATATCGTATATCAGCATGATGGTCGATACATTGCTTTCTCGCTATTTGAAACAGTAATAAACATTAAAGGAAAAAAATCTTGTAAAGCGACCAGCCTACATAATAATATTATGTGCCTAAAAGCCTAAATTAAAGAATTGAGGAATGAACATAAAACATTGTGTGACAATTTTTTTGTCCTTTTTTTTTTTTTCAAAAAGAGTAAGGCTCCAATGGTTCACAAATTCTACATTAATGTGGCCATCATCTAGATGTTTCAAGTTTAAAAAGAAAAATTGATATGCACAAAAATGGTGGGAAAAATAATTTCTCAGGTTCTCGACCTTCCACAATACCTCCTATGCTGTAATCCATATTGTCTGGAATATATTACCTTGAGCTTAAAGAATCTTTATACAAAACATGGGCACAGTTATTAGATCTATAAATATTATTAGGGGAGAACAAACAATAGTTGGAGCTTCATTGGCTATTGATAGAGTATAAGGATGGATAAGGATTCGTGTTGCCAACCCTAAATAATTGAAAGGCTTTGATGATGGGAAAATGAGTAGGGGTGTCAATTTTAAATAAAAAAAGTTTATATAAGGATGCTACCTTATAATGTAGAACAAGAGATGCCCCTCAAAAATCCACTGGAAAAGGTAGTTTTAATGTTGAAAAATCCTTTGATTGATCATCTCGACATCAAGATGTATGACCATGAAAAATAAAAAGATTTTAAGTCTAAAAAATAGTGCCTTTTACAACATATTATCTACACCGTCCTTTTTCAATATTTTCATATGTTTATAGATCTACTTAATTTTAACCAA